AAATACGTGTATTTGCTGGGGATGTTTCTGATCATCACAGTGGTTTTTTCTCCTCCGGATTCTAATGGTATGGGGTTCTTTGGTTGTTTTCTAGAAGGCTGAATCTGAAGGCTGCCATCATTCACAGGATTGCCATTTCCTGCTTTGCGTCTCCACTTCTGCTTTGGAGCTCGATTTCTAGGTCGATCAGGAACAATCCTATTTCTTCTGGGTGCACTTCTCTGCCCCCTGGTTCTGGACCTTCCACGGTTTTCTGGAACCACAAGCTGTACTTGCTCCGTTTCTGCTTGATGTCCCGTGTTGTAAGTCTCAATATAGGGAAGGCACTGCATGGTAACAGGTTGAAGGGTAAAGAAAGAGGGTTGTACTGTGGGTTGATAAACAAAATTAGGTTTTCTGTAGAGATGATGAGCAAGAAGGAATGGAGCATGGCAGGGCTGGGGATGCTGGGGAAACATTGGGACGCTTTGGGAATAGCCAAGGGATTCTGGGGTTGCAATAGAGGAAGGTGAATAAGAAGCTGCTGCCGGTCTCCAAGGCTCAGCGTCTTTGTTTAAACCACCTTGAGTTGCAGGAGCGGAGGCCATGGATGACTGATGACCGATCAAGGATGAAGTTGGTTGAGGGAGAACAGAGATGAAGTGGGAATGTCTAGCTATATGAAGGGACATATGTCTGGAAGAACTGAACCACCCTTTTTCCCCTGGGGGCAAATTGTACTAACAAGAAAGGCCTTCTCTTACAGACAAAAAATATTTATACTACCCTTTTCTTTTCTACTTTTTCATTTTGAATTTTAACTCCTTAGCAATTTTTTTTTTTAAAATCATATACACATATTATTACATAAAATGATTTACATGAACAAGTTATTATACATAATAATGTAAATCACTAGTTCCCTTGTACACCCTTTAGTGCTAATAGAGCAGCTCCATAGGCAGCTTCTGTTTGAATTGCTCGGCTCACCGGCAAACCAAGTACTCTCTCACGGATCTTTATCCATTTCTCGTTCTTGGCACCGCCGCCAGCAGTAAACACTTCATCAACTTGGGTTGCCCCAAGATCCTTCAATAAGCTATAAGCCTTTGCCTGAATATGGTAACAATTAAAGGTTCAGTATTGGGAGTAAGTAGGGATGATGAAAGATGCATGTTATAGTTTCTTCATCTGAGCAATGAAAAATTATTTACGAAAGGAGAGGGGATCTTGATCTTCATACCTCTATTCGTGCAATTGATTCCAAAATACCATGCAAGTACTCCACATCACTTTCTGGACGTGGATGCAATCTGCACAGGAATAAGTACTCTATTATTCCAATCGTTGTATTTTTCTACATGAAAACCCACAAGGAAATAAGAATATTCATGGATAGCAGCATGGAAACCAGTCATGAGTATACTGATGTTCCTTTCCAGTTAGGAACTATGCCATACTGGCTACACTCCCTTGCAGCATACAAACTCGATGATATTATGCTTAAACAACCTTTTCAAATTACTTTGCAAGTAGAAATCATAATTTCTAATATGTAAAAGCTCATGCAGGATGCCTCTTGTAACAATTGAGAACATCAATGGGCCAAGCGTATTTGGGAATTCCTTTGGATATGAACGAATGTCCGTAATTCATTTAAGAGATACAGAGAAGGGAGGGAGGGGAGCTGGGCACCTTGGTTGCATATTTGGATCAGCCACTGGAAATCGCTCTCCAACTGATTGGAGAGGATAGTAGTCTAGAGATGAAGCTTCAGCAGGATTAATATGTTTGCTCAATTTTTCTAGTTGCTGGTCAGTGAAAAGTTGTCTGAGAACAGCTCCACCAGTATTTGAAGCACCTCCAACCAGCCACTTATCATCAAGGCGATGACTGTATACTCCATATCTTGCATCCTCAATCCTACTGGTGCTCAGTAGTTTAATAGCAAGTGTAGAACCCAAAGAAGTGACCTAGAAAAAGAGATTAACAGAGCATTATGAGATTCCCTGATGCATGCCTTTGCCTAATAAAAATTGAAAAATATGTCTAGGGATGCAAACAAGTCAAGCAAACTACAACTGAGCTATCTAGATTTGACTTACAAATTTCTTATATTCATTCAACTACTTTAGTTCAGAACTCAGTTGAGTCCTTGCCTTCTTAAATTTATGTTGAGCATCCTTATATTTATAATTAAATCCAGTAAATAAATTAAGTTCAAGGTACAAAGATCAAACTTCTATCACACTTGAGATGGATTTCAAGAAATGAGTACATGAATAGAAGTCAGATGCAAGAAATGAGCTTTATTGCATTCCTAAAAATGCCATTAGCCGTAATAAGTACAAAAATTGAAAAGTTGAGAAATTTTAACAGCTTTCCCAGGTTTTGTTGCACGGGCTGCAAGAAATGCCGCTATGCTATCAGTAGTTCCAGTGCATACAACACAATCATCTGGAAGACCTACAACAGCATATTTATAAAATTTCATTTGCAGTTCTGCAAGGTGAGGTGAGGTTCAATGAGCAACAAAAATTATAAGCAGATATCCAGGGCAATCAGTTGCATAATTTCTCTATCAAATTACCATTAAATGTTAAAAAAACTTAGCATCAATGAGAAAATAAAATCTGTTGAGCTTTTCAAAAAATATAAAAAGAACATGATATGCAAGAAGATACAATCTAAATTGGCCTTTTCCTAAGGTATAGATTCAGCATTTTGGGCTGAAATGCTAGCTTATATACAACAGATGAAAGAGCATTTTACGAAGATTATAAACTTTAATGCCAACAGTCTTCAGAAAAGGACTACTTGATGAATTAAGAAAATACCAAATTGTCTTCTAATGTCCTTTTTTAAATGGCCAATTGAAGTTCCAGGAGCTCTAACTGAAGGTAAAAGTCTAGAATATGGCTGAGAGAGCAGCCAAGGTGGATAAGAGTCAAGCTCAGGATCGTAACCAACCTATTAGAAATAAAGGGAATTACATAACAGAACACAAATTTGATCATAATAAGCAGGAAGGGAAGGATAGAAAATTCAAAAGCAATGAGTTGCCATATGATACCTTCAAGGCATTATTGTAATCAGAAACCCCAAGCTCCCCATGGAGAAGCCATAACAACCAATCCACCTGATGCATTAACAATGCTGATTCTCTATTTGAATCATCATTGTTCCACCATGAAACAAGCTTGCAGAGGGTAGAAGAACCAGAGCAGACTGTATGGTTAACAGGAGCAATGGACTTTACTATTGGTAAGGCATCAGGACAACTCTCATTGTAAAGAAGAGGTTTGCTTAATGGTTCTCCAGTGGTACTGCAGTGACAAATTTACATGGATTGAAATTTCAATCTCTTTGAAAAGAAATAACATAGGTCATAGATTAGCACCCTATCCCTAAGATAATGATCACCTGTCAATTATGAGGGTAGTTGCAGAAGTCCCATCAATAGAAATGGAAGAAATGAGAGGGCGAAGGTTAACAGGAATGTCTTCGAGAAGCAAGAACAGAGTCATTCTCCATGAGCCAGCCCAGTCCATTGTTTCTTCTTTCTATCTAGACAACATAAATTGTATTCTCAACATGACTAACATCATTAGCCACATCAGTGATACACAGAATCATCTATATTGTTAGAATGTTAAAGTTAATACATAAACATTTTTATCACTCTTTAAGAAATTTAGAAAGAATAATTCAGCAAATTGGAAGGTGATGTAATATAGCAATTGAATTTGAACTATAAGTCTACAACATAAGCAGTTCACTCTAAATTTGACACAACCACTGTATGGCACAGCTTCAAAAATCAATTTGAAAGCGCTCAAGCAGTTTAATTTATCATCTTCCTTCATAAAATAATACAAAACAGTACTTTATCCACAATTGTTCATCAAGATAGACATCTAGCGCTAGAGAATAGCAAAAATGAGCATATACAAGAACCAACAGGAAAAACTAAAGGATCAACTACATAATACCCATTGCACAATTCCATAAGCAATAAGCTTACCGTAAATGATGGATATTCTCTCTTCCCTTCAGCATGAATTGTCCCTTCCTTGTCAATAACAACAAACCTAGCACCAGATGTACCAAAATCCATTCCAAGATAAAGCCTTTCCCCACCTTGAAACCCCACTTCTTGTTTATCCCCATTGCTTCCAAAAACCATGGTTCTTGGTCTTGTTGACCTCTTCCCACCAACATTACATGTTTCAGTTCTTATAACCGACTTCATTGGATTAGAACACCCTGAACACACATTACAAACTTCTAACACAGCTTGGGAGAAAACAACATTGTAATTTGTCCAAATGAAAGTAAAAATGATGCCTGAGAATGAAGAAGAAAGAAAGTTACCGTGTTTTGAAGGTAACGGGAAGAGAACCTGAGAAGAAAACGAAGAACTGTGGATTGCGGGAAGCATGAATTTGTAGTGTCTTTGTTCTCCCAGGGTCAGCTCTGTATTGATCCTGAAGGATAAGGAGAGCTGCTAGCAACTGGTGAGTGGTGGTTTTATGGTTCGGGGCTGGAGAGTTGGGCCTGGAATTTTTCTGGCCCAGCTCAGGCTCCTATGGTCTTGTAAAGTGTAAACGACGGATCGGTTTGAGAGAGAGAAAGGATTCGAAAAAAAGCCCATTTATTGTTTTTGTAATTATTTATGACTTTTTTCTTTAAATCTTGATTACAAGTTAAAAAGTAATCATCTTTCATCTTTTATTTTATTCTATTCACATGTCATATTAATCGAATTCAAAATTTTTTATACTTTCAATCGAAAGAGTTTGTTGATTTATTTATGACTTTTTTATTTTACAATTTATATTATAAAATGGATGTTATCGGAATGAGGTGGTTGGATAACTATTAATGTGAGGAAGGTCATTCATATTTAATAATAAGTATTACATAGTTTGTTACAATTTACACTTAATAACAATTTTTTTGATTATTTATCCCTTATGCGCTTGAGAAGTAAACAAAGATAAAGAAACTAACCAAAAATTAAAAATGAATTCTATACCATGCTAAAGTATTTGGAATGTGAATTAGTTGTAGAAATAAGAGATGGAACTTGTTAATACGATTGTAAAATCACTCTTGATAATTTGTGAATTAAATTTTTATTGAAATAATAGTTAATTTTTAATCTAACTATAAAAGTAATGTAAGATCAAGAATTTTGAAATATAAACTAAAAAAAGAAGAAGAAGAATGGTTTACGTTAATTTTTTTTAATTAATTTTTTGATATTTAGTAATTATTTTGGATCTAATTAATTTAAAATTAAATTGAATCAAATCTCATTATAATAAATTTTTATTAATATTTATTTTTTATTTATAATATTTAAATTTAAATTTAAAATTTTATTTAAAACAAATTGATATTATCTCACTGTAAGCAACGTATCATCGGCTGGGTTTGCGTTAAATGGAATGCCATTGTTTCCTCATTTCCACTCGCACACAGGTTGGATTAGAAAGATGAAGATCTGACTAGTGGCGCCCACGTAGCACATGAGAGACAGGTTTATAGGGGCACGTGAGCCACTTGGGCGGCTTGCCCTTAAAGCGAAAGGTGACAGCTATTTGGCTTCTGATCACAACACAACCAGTTCTCTTTAAAGGGCCTTGAAATCAAGTTCCCATCACAAGGGCCACCTTCTGCTTATAGTACCTTTCTTTTTCCTCCAAATCATTTGAGTAAATTTTTTTTTTTTATAAGGGTAACAATTAGTAAGTTACAATTGTTAAATGTTAGTAATTAAGGATTCGATTCTCAAATCAGATAAACAACTCACCAACCTTAAATACGTGCGCAGCCATCTAGCCTCCTTATGAAATTCTATTTGAGCAAATTTGGTTCAAGCAACTGGTGCAAGGGTGTATACTGTATAGTGTCCGAAAATGAGCATTTTCAACATTTGACACCTCATGAACATGCCAGAGTCTTCATTCTGTATTTTGTCAAGCCATTTATTTTGAATATTACTATAAATCACGTGTTAACTGTTAAGTAGTAAAATTGTACGTAATTAATTAATAGAAGGTTGTGTATTTAAAATTTTCACATAATCAATTATTAAAGAAGTAAGTTTTAATATATATTGTAAAAAATTAAATGAAAAATATCTTAAAATTATTTTATTATATAAAATTTCATTAAAAAAATCTTTTAATATATATTTTTATTCATATGACTTAAACTAAGATACTTTATTTAAGAAAAATTAAATTTTTTTACTCAAATTAGAAGATAATTAGTTATACATTTTCATTATTTGTCTTTGTATTTCCGCTTTCTAGTTGGCATGCATTAAGGGTATTTCGGTCATTTGATCAGAACGTACTTCATTCACTCCGGTTCGACATCTGATGATGAGCTCATGTGTGGTCAAGTCTAACCACATCTTTGGTTGATTTGATCCGTATATCTTGATCAAGATAATTTTGGACGGTCCAGGAGGCTCTGTGAAATAAACCGAAATGCTTCAGGGGACCACCGGAGAAAACCCGCTTCACGTTTGTTGTGCGTTCATCGAGTTCACGTGCACTCGCGAGCAAGTCGCTGCTTTCAGCACGCCCCGACTATCGCATGTAAAATGACGTAAAAATCCTCTTTGCCGACAAACATTTCAAACTTCAATTTCCCATTTTGTCCCATTCGCTAGGATATCTCTGACACACCATACGTGACCCAAGGAAGAAATTTACTCTCAAAATTGAATTTATTGGTACATTAGTGTGATTTTATAAATAGGATTAAAATTTTATAAATAAAGACTATTAAGCTTTTTTTTTTTTTTAATCTTAGTTGTATAATGGAGATAACCATTTCACATTCTTTATCCCATCACATTCCACTTGCATATCGTACAATTTAAATTTAAAACGTTTTACTTTTTCGGTAGAAAAAAATAATTATTGAATTATTTAGTTTGTTTGTAAAATTACTAAGATTTTAGATTAATATTAAAAAATTTTCTTAAATACCCTAAAATTTCTTTAAAATTGAATTTGTTAACAAAAGTTAGTTCAAAGAGAATTTGACTATAAATACTAAAAAAAATTTATAAACAAAGTAAATTGGTAGTCTTTTTCTTCTTATTTTATCATTTTTTCATCTGATTTCTAATGTAGCAATTTTAATTGTGTCAACAATCATTAATCATTCCATGTCTTACATCGACTTCATTGCCTCTAAAGATTTTTCAAAGAATAGATTATTAAATCATAATTGGTTCGGGAGGCATTTGATTAAAAAATTGCTTGATTTTAAAGCAAATTGAGAGGGGGGTGGTGGTGGTGGTGGGTTTGAAGGTTTATTTTATGTAGTTTACAAGTCATGAAGTGAGATTAAAGACTCATACCCATTTTGAGACTGGCAGACAGACACAGCCATCATGGTTTGCTTCTTCATTACAACTATAACTACCTCATTTCTGCCCCCAATTTTTCTGCCCTCAAATGTTTGGTGAATAACAGTATAACCCCATGATATTGATCTCTCTCGACACAAATCTTCCCATAGGGAAACCCCTTTTGAGCTAACATGATGTTTGTTACGTAATTACACTTCCTTATCAGCATAACTATGTAACCATTTTTAAGTTTATATATCCTTTTCATTTCAGTTCAGCCATGATTCTTATCTCTAGTTAAGACTCCCCCACAGTTGTTGTCGGGGATTATCAAGCAAAAAGCACTAATGTCATGCAAAATGACACAATACGTGCATGAGTCTTTGCTTGAGCAGACATGTACGTACACCAGAAATTAAAGTATCATCTCCAACAAGAGTAGTACCAAGTCCTTTCAAATCATAGTTTTCTGTTCTGTTAGGGAGGACAACATTACTTCAAAGACAATTAACCAATGCTATATTTACCTAGAGATGTTATATCACCAACTTCCATGTCAGGAGGTGCAATGTAATGCATGTATAATTAGAACTTTGATGAGATAGAAGAAGTTTAGAAAACTTTTTCACAATAATATGCTATATAAAGTGCTTAGTGCATAGATAAGCCCTGGATCTTTATTGTTTTTTCTTAGAAACAAAGCTAATCATATTCTAGGAACAAAAAGAATTTGCGGGAGTAGTGGAAACATTTACAAAACATAAATGGAAAGCAGGGGAGGGGAGAATTCAATAGCTTCTTGTCACATTGGCTGTATCTGAATCATACCCTTCTGTTTTAGCATGTCGACCTTTTATCCTCTTGCTAACATCAGCTTTAGCTTTCAGAGATGCATAACGAATATGTCTCTCGTACCTGAAATTCAAAAAGATGATAACTTCAAATGAGCAAAACTAACAGATAAATTTAGGTTGTTAATAAGTAGTGTCCATTTCATTTTACTAGCCATTTATCTGCCTAGAAACCAGCATTCTCAAGAGGCTAACATATATGTACTGGGGCGATGAATTGATGGTTTTAAGTGCCCTGAAATTCTCAAGAAGTATTGTTTTGTATAGGTTTCTAAGTCACCAAGACAGCATGACCCATTCAAGTCTTCAAGGTGTAACTTGTTGCCAACTGTTGTAGAAAATCTTCTAGAAGAAAAAAATATGATACTTACAGTCGAGCTTTCTTCTTCTCCTTGTACCTCATTATAGCATTTTCTCTAGCTTCTGAATGTGCACCATCTAAGTCATGAGAAATGGATGATGCTTCCCCCCCTGTGATGGGTGAAAGCTCACTGTCGAGGCAATCGGTACCACTGCTTTCATTGCTAAACCTTGAAAGGGTGAAGGACAGGGTTGAATAAGATGGTTGAATTGGGTGAGGACAATCAAAGTTTCTCTGGTAATTATTGATTTTGCTGGAAGGATTCAAATCCCTTTCCATTTGAGCAGACTGCGCACCATAAATAGAAGCTGCAGAAGCATCCTGTCATGAGAGAATCCAGAGAAAAATGAAAATCTTGAAGGTACTCGAAACCACTCTGTCATAGTTTCACCTTTACACTTATCAAGAGATAAGCCTACAACCATTTAGGAGGACTGAAACATAAGGTCCTAAATTGTTTCAGATAACATGAAGATTAGGAAGCTCTTGAAGTTTAAGAAATTCTCAACCTGTTTTCCTCTGAAATTCTTCTCAATCTTACTTGTGCCAAGCTGATACTTAAGTCATTTGTCTTCCAAGTTATTTTTGTCATTTGTCTTCCAAGTTATTTTTAAATACCAATGCAATTGGTCTCATATCAGAGTTTCCATTTTCAGTTCGTGAATGGGGGATGTTGGTTGAGCCATGGAGGAAATATACCATAAACCAATAAATTAGCAACATGATTAATTTCTCTGAAAATATAAAAAAAAGTAACTTGGTCCTGACCTCTGCTGATCTTGCATTACCATAATCTGATTTATCAAGGGACATATCCTTCTTAACTGCGGAGTATGAAACATCTTTATCGTCTAGCAGCGCTCGGATTGGATCTTGATCACCTCCAAATAGCTCCTCAAAGTTGCGGAATGTTAAATCAACATCAGGTATGTTAAAATGATCATGGAAACTTGTGTCTTCACAAACCCCAAGGTCTTGAATTGTTTGAGACCATAACTGCAAAAGTCCATTGACAGATACTAAAGACTTCAAAGATCTATATTCCTATGCTCAAAAGTCATACGGTTGGAGTAATGCATTAAGGCTGGCAAATTACAGTCACAGATAAAGAGATAGTGCCAAGCTGACTTGCAAAATGCAGATAATATAGTTCAATATATTTATTTTGTCAGCAAATCATCTTTTGAAATATCAATTATCTCATTGTACAGCTAAACATTTCAGAAATCCATGGCATCAAAAAGTTTGCCAGAGCAGCTATGTGTTAATTATCAGTAAACCCCAGGAATTCGTTAGGGTCAGGAGAACAGCATTCAACTATAACTGAAGGTAAAATTGAATCAAACCCAATGTTTCTAGAATGGTTTGTTCAAAATGATAAAAAAAAATAGTTTCCAAGACCTTTATCAAGAACTTTGCTCAATTTTCTACCATTAAAAGGTTGTCAAGCTTCTAAAACAAATTCATTGAGGTTTGCAAAACATTGTATGTTTGTAACTCAATTTTGACAAAAATTGTTAAACAAAGACCTGCATCTGGATGAATGTGAGAGGATGCTAACCGTACTGACCAAATTTTAGTAAACTGCCCCTAGTGAAACAACGGTCTGACATGTGACCCAGGAAATTACAGAGGTGAAAAACTAAATTTATATGAAAAGATGAGTTATAAGAAAATAATTATAACAGGACACCGATGATCATGAAGCATAACACTCATCTTATCCACTATGCATTTGCTGACACTAAAAGGAAACTTCTGTGTCCTCAAGGCTCTCCTAAATGAATACCAAATCTGAACAAATTGCAACTAATTGATCATACCAATTAGATTACTAGTGATTATTAATTCAAACCTGATTACTTTGAGTTGGACTTTTGGATTGCCAAAAAGATTCTCCTTGCAAAGGCATACCAGCTGTTGAAGATGAGGATAGATGCTCCAGATGAGTAAAGGGTAAAGGAAAAGAATCAACTTCCAGCTCTTGAAGTGGATTGCCTCTTTGGTGGAGGTCATTGTTAATGTCCTGGAAATTTTGTGAATCCTGACCAACTTTTCGATCAAAATTCCCTAAAGGGATACTTATTGAAGAACATGTATCAGTTTGTTGCTGTCCATGTGTCAAAGGTTGACAGCTATCTCCCTCAGTGAGCTGAAGCCTTTTCAGATCAAGAATCTGTTGCAAAATAAAGGAAGTGTTCTGCTGTTGCTGAGCATTGAGAACAACCTGCAGGATCAAGCAACCACCAAGATGAGCATAAAAATAAAATGAATGAGGTTTTCTAGTCCTAAGAAAAAGACAGGTGGTACAAATTAATCTGTAAAATTTTATCTCATCAGAATAGCTGGAGCAGTCTGAAATTACTGTAGAAGAAAATCTCCAGTTCAAAATTAAAACTGAAAAGAAATCCAACTATTAACCGACCAAAACTATTAGAATGATTAAATCATCAAACCACATTCAAGAGTAACCATACTAGTTGTGGTTACATTAAGGATCAAAATCCTACAAAAACTCAAATTAGATAAGAGAAACACTTCACAGATTAAAAGATCTCCTGAAGGATGGCAAGTGAAAAGAAAAAGAATTGGGAAAACATATCTAGAACGGAAATTTATATCATGACCTAGTCACCTATATGTCCAGCATATGATGCATCAAGTACATAACAATATTTTTCTTTTTGTAATGCATCTGAAGCTGAACTTCATTTTTATTAACAGCTCAGCACAAGCAGAATGCCTACTATCTATTAGTTGTGACAGGAAGGTAGAAGCAGTTACTCCTCCACAATCTACCAATTCTAGGTATACTAATCAACCAAGAAAAAGAGATGTTTGCTCACTAGAACAGAGCCTAGCACTACTTTAATTCTCTTTTTCTTTCCTTTCTCAGCTTCTCTTGCTGCTTGCACTCAGCAGGTCAGTCAATATATTGTAGTGGAAGAGACAGAGTAGTTCCCTGGTATTCAGTTGGTAGCTCTGTTTAATATTTTCAAGAACTGGAATTGATAGGCTGACAGAAATACAAGTTGACAAATCAGCAGAACCAATTTTGGAAAGTTCATAGTTAAGAAACAAAGGACCTGGTAATGCTAAAGGGTCTTGTGGGACCTTTATATATTTCCACTCTCATTGTTTCAGAAGTCATCTGATTAGTTACCTATGTTAGCTGCACATGTCAGTTTCATATTAATATATTGAACAATTAGAAGGTGCTGATTGCTGAACTTCATAAAATTTTCTTATAGGCAGGAGGATATTTAGAAATTCAATAACACAAACTAAGTTAATAATCAATGGAGAGAAAAAAAAAAGCATGATATAATTCATGAATGGACTTGAACACAATCAAATCCTGCCTACCTTTGGTTGCTGACTGCTTGATATATCATATCCCAAGGTAGAGTTTGAAGCCACATTCAATTTACTTGAAGAGCTTATAATTTGTGAAGAAGACAGTGCTGGAATTTTGAATTTGATCACATGGGGATTCACAGAACCTGGTAAAGAATGATCTTGAATAGCACTATTATCCTGTTCATTCAAATTGAAACCCCACAATGCTGCAAAATCTTTAGCAGAAGGGCATCCCAAGTAACTGCTTACTGCACGCCTCTGATGTTGAGAAGAGATATCATGCAGGTTCTGGTCACAGCCACAACACATGAACATTCGGTGATCCAAACACCTAATATAAGATGGGCGGTATCCGCATGAGTCACATAGGAGGGTACGAAGATGTCGACTTGAAAGTGCATTAGCTGAATGGACCTTTGCATCACAGGAAAGACATAGATGTGCTGCATCAGCCTTACAATAAACAACTGGTCTAGAAGTTGTGCAGAACTCACAGATTTTCTCCATTTTATTATTTTCCAGTATCAATAAACTCCAGAATTCCAAAACCTCTTCTCTTAAAGTTTCACTTCCAACCTCAATTATCAAACTCCATTTATCAATCCATAAGCTTGATAATTTATATAAGCTGTTCTTCTGATTAAGCAACCAATGCTCCAATTTCAAGGATCTGAACAAAATACTCGGATAATCAGAAACACCTTCAAGTGTGTTCATATTTCATAAATTAGAAATTTTGTCTTAGATTTAGGCAGCTCTTACCAACAGAATCTTCCAATTTCAACCAACAAAAAGGAGAAAACAAAAACAAAACCAAAAACCAAAATTATGGTTATATCTGGTAAACTTTCAAGAACAGCAAAAGCACTGCCCTCTTTCAAGCCTTACGAGATCAAAAGCAATGGTTGTAAATTTGTACACAAATTGCTTTCTTTTGACTCTTAAAAACTATTTACATTCATGTAACACAAAAGCCAACCATTTCTAAGTTAAAATTAAGCAAACAAACAAACATCACTTAGCACATTCAGCAAGCTGCAAGCAAAAATACGGCTATCAAAACCATTAAAAGAACTTGAATTGATTACTAGTTACAACAACAACAACATGACAAAGACAAGTGATGCATCAGTAAAACCCTCCGTGCCCTTCAATCATGTCCATATTTTCTAAACAACTCTTACTGACCCATTTAACAAAATCAAACCAGGAACAAGACCCAAGTAGACTTTAGCCAAAAAAAATCCAATCTTTATGAGTCAATTCATTTCCCCACTGGATCAATTCTTCTAGAAAATACCGCTAAGATTAAAAATACAGAGATCTAAAAAGTAGGATCAAACGTTGACGAATCTACGGATGGGTGCATACACATACAAAGAAACGGGATAAGAGGACAAGAGGTTTTACCTTGTGTTTGTTTCCCGAGAAAAAAAAATGCAGGGTTCCAAGAGAAATTAATGGATCGAAAATGGTCAGCTTCTGAGACTGATCTCCTCTGTTCTCTTTTTATCTTCACATTTCTGCGTCTCCGTTCATGTCTATCTGTCTTCACCTTTTTCGTGCTGACGTGTACTTGTGGGCGTGAACTTTTTGCTGACGTGGTTGTGAACACGTGGTCGGGTGCGGGACCCGCGAACGTTATCCATGTGCATATGAAACCGTGGAGTCACCCAGAAGTTTACCTGCCGCGACCACTTGAAAGACGCCACGTGTTGGAAAAAAAAGGTTGTTAGAACGACGGCTA